GAAAAGCTAAAGGAGTTCATCACCACCAAACCAGTATTATATGAAATGCTGAAAGGTATCCTTTAAGAAGAGGAAGAAGAAGAAAAATATAAAGATACAAATTATGAACAACAAATACACATCTATCAACAAGTGAATCTAAAAATCAAGTGAATAAATAATCTGATGAACTAGTGATTATAATAGAATCAGGGACATAGAAAGGGAGTGGACTATTCTTGGGGGGGAAAGGGGTGTGGGGGATGCGGGAAGAGATTGGACAACAATCGTGCACCTATGAATTAGGACAGTGGGGGGAGAGTGAGGGCGGAGGGTGGGGTGGGAACTGGATGGAAGGGGAGTTATGGGGGAAAAAAGAGGAAACCAATGTAATAATCGAACAATAAAGATTTAATTAAAAAAAAACACCAAGGTAGCCAATAAAATTGTTCTGAAAAAAAGAAAGACCAAGTGCGGTATATGGGTCTTACTTTACAGTACTATTGTATAAAGACATTTTGAGGCAGAGAACATTGAACACAGTCCGGTGTTAGATGATACTTAGAAATTAATTTTCTTGGGTTTGAAAATGTTTAATAGTCCTTATCAGAGAAACATCATGAAGCATGAGTTGACAAATGGCTGGAATTTAATCTATTTCAGCAAAAAAAAAAAAAATAGAAGTATAGATGAAACAAGAAGGGTAGAATGCTAGTAATTGTGGAGAGGTATATTATTCCTCTGTTGTTGCATACTGTTTAAAACATTCATAATAAAGCATTTTAAGGACTACCAAAACCGGAGCGGTCAGCTATGTCTCAAGAAAGGACACAGACCAAACCTACACACATGACCTTCTGAGTTGACGCTCTTGACTGTTGTACTGGCCTTTACGTAACGCAGAGCATTTCGTCCATTTTCAGCCAGTAAAAGCCTCCAGCTGTCACAGCCTCCAGGAGGCGCCTCCTCTGAGCTCCCACAGCATGTCCCTAGTGTTCTGGGGGTCATGCCTGGTCCCTTGTCTGTCTGCCCCAGATTGGGAGCCCACGGCGCCCAGCGCCTCCAGCCTCGCCCAGCGCCGCGCACCCAAGTGCGTTTCCCGAGCTCTCAGAGGTTCCGCTTCCACGCTAGGGGCGGACCAACTGACGTCAGGGCGCTCTCATTTGGCCTCTGGGAAGACGCCGCCGCCTCTAAACTGCACACTCACAGACTCCGGTCCTTCCATTGGTCCGATTTCACAGCATTCTGATTGGCCTATATTCTTCCTTGGGTGGGCGCTCCGGGTATGGCCAGATTCTCATTGGCCTCCGCTCTAAACTCAGGCGTCTGACATCACGCACCAGCGCCCGTCGCTTTCGCTCACAGGTCATCCGCGGGCGCCGACGGGGACCAACCCAGAGAGTAGACAGCGGCACCGGCGGAGGCCAGGCGGGGGTAGCGGCGAGAGCGAAGGCAGCAGCGATGGCTGGGGCGGGGCCGCTCCCGGGACTCCCGGGTGCAGGAGGACCCGTGGTCCCGGGCCCTGGCGCCAGCATTCCGGGCAAGAGCGGCGAAGAACGCCTGAAGGAGATGGAGGCGGAAATGGCCCTGTAAGGCCCGCGACAGGACGGGATAAAAAACGTCCCAGAGCCGGGGCCGCCGAACCCTGGAGCCTCCCGGCCGCAATAGGGCCGACATATGGCTTTATCATGGGGAAATGGGACCTTGGGATTGTGGGGGCGGGAGTAAGGCGAGGTTGGTAGGGATGAAGGCGCCGTCTCGATATAGTCAAAATCCCAGAATTGGTGCAAGAGCCTGAGCTTTGGTGTCCTGTTCCCCCAGGTTTGAGCAGGAAGTTCTGGGGGCTCCGGTAACCGGAATCCCAGCTGCCATGCCCGCAGTGCCTACCGTCCCCACAGTAGATGCGATGCAGGTCCCAACAGCTCCTGTGATCCGCCCGATTATCGCGACCAACACATACCAGCAGGTACGTCTGAACTAAGGCATCGTAAGTCAGAGAGCACCATGCCTGGAACACAGTGTGTGTGTACAGAGCACTAATGACATGTTGGTTTGTTGATTGATTTGCCTGACAAATATTTTATGTTCCAGGCACTGAGGACACAGTAATGATTAAGGCAAACAGTATTTCTGCCCTTTGAGAGCTTATATTCTAGAGCATGTTGTTTAGAACTTTATGCAATGATGGGAATGTCTGTATCTATTTAAAATGTATATTTGAATCAAATAGTGTGTGAATCTCATTAGTCATATTCAAGTGCTCAATGCTAGTTATGTATGACTAGTGGAGAGAGAAACTAAACAGAAAACAATTAAATGAAACTTGTTCATTCTGTCAACAAATAATTATTGGGTGCCTTATATGCGCCAGGCACTATTCTAGGAATTAGGCATATATGGCAGAAAACAAAACATAGAACAATAATCACCACCTTTTCGGAGTTTAAATTTTACTTGGGAGAGACAGGTCAAGTAAAGTCAGACGGACAGGTTTATCAGCGCAGTCAGGGAAGGCCTTTCTGAGGAGGTGACATTTAGGCAAAGATATAAAGGACATAATGGAGGGAACCATGCAGATATCTGAGCCATGAAGCAGGTGTGTACCTGACATGTTCAAGGAACAGCAGGAAGAAGAGTGTGGCTGGAGCGGAGTGAGCAATGGAGAGTGGGAGGAGATGAGGACAGAGACACCAGATCTGTCAGGGCTTTGTGGGTCACCATAAAGACCTTGGTTTTCGCTCTGAAGTGGGAAACCACTGAGGGATTTTGAGCAGAGGGGTGATATGGTCCAACCTACAGGTTAATGGGGTAGCTCTGGCTATGTGTGGAGAACAGAGTGTAGCGGGGCAGGGCAAAATCAAAGAGACTGAGGAAGAGGCTATTACAATGATCAAGGCAAGAGACAGTGGTGGCATGGGATGGGGAGAACAGGCTGGACATAATTTCAGATAGTGCTGAGTGCTATGGGGCAGATGAAGTAGCATGATAGTGAGAGAAGTTGCTGCTAAGCATGGGCTAAGGACAGCTTTAGCTAGTGTGATCCCTAAAGGTTGACGGATAGCCAGCCCCACACACAGTGCAAAGAATGGGAACTCTTGGCCTCCCAAGGTGAGCCAGCCAGGGCAGTTTGGGAGCACTGAGTCAGGCCCCTTACCCCAACCTCCTTCCCAACAGGTCCAACAGACTCTGGAGGCCCGGGCAGCCGCTGCAGCCACAGTGGTTTCTCCCATGGTGGGTGGCCCTCCTTTTGTGGGTCCAGGTAAGTAAGGAGCAGTGGGGTGAGGGAGCCAGGGGATTAGGTAGGGTGGTAAGAAGGGATGCCCAGAACTTTCTTCCCACCGTTCTTGTCTCTTCTCTCCCAACAGTTGGCTTTGGCCCTGGTGATCGGAGTCACCTGGAAAGTCCAGAGGCTCGAGAAGCGATGTTTTTGCGACGAGCAGGTAGGTCTGGGGCCAGGAAACCCACATTTAACCAAGCAGTCTAATTTCAACTACTTCAGCCTCTTGCTTGATTCATTGTTCTAACTTACCCTGTTCATTTCATCCCCACCCTGATGTTGTCATCTTCCTAAAGCACAAGCCTGATTATGTATTTCAAGTTATTTTGCCTTAATAAGGCTTAACTTGGTCATTGTAAACCAACCTCCTATTGTCATTCCTAATCCCTACCCTTTACTCTGTTTCTTCATAGCATTTAACACCTTATAACAAGCTGTATAACTTATTACTTTTTGCTTTCTCTAAAATATAAGCTCCGTGAGGGGCAGAAGTCTTGGTGTTTGCCACATAGTAAGCATTACCTGCTATTAGTTGTTGATGAGATGAACAAACCATCAACAAGCACCAGGCTGTGCACCTGCCAGTCAAGACCCTACATCACCTGGCCCCTTGCAGAGAGAGAGAGATCCCCACATCCTTAAACTTTGCTGGAATGTGCCAGTAATTCTCATGTTGAAGTTCTCTCTCCTGCCCACTGTCACCCAACTATAACCTTCTAAAACCTATAAACTAAACCAAAATCAAACTAACCAAAGTCAACTAACATCTATCCTCTCCACAGACCATTCATTTTGTTGCAGATGTGAATTTTATATACATAGGCAAGTTTTGTGATATTATTTCCTTATGAAAAGGATATGGTACAATCTCTATTAGATCAACCATGTTAAATCCTATTGTACTTTTTAAAGAATCTGGTGTCTGAGAAAACATCTCTTACTCTTTAGTATGGTTTTGATCAAAATGCAAATCAGATCTAGTCACCCTGCCCAGCTTCCAATCCTGCTGTGACTCCTTGGTGCTCTCAGGAGGACATGCATGGCTCAGCCAATAAGGCTATGCTTGGATGCCTACTGACCTCCTAACCATTTTCTTATGATGTTCTCTAACTCTGACTTCCTCAATTATAATTATACTAAACTGAAAGGGGGAAAAGGTTTTGTCTATAAATGTTCTCCTTTGCCAGTACTTTTTCCATTTGTGTTTTGTGTAATTCTTCATTATCTTTTGGGTTTCAGCTCCCAGGTCCCATTCTTTAGGAAACCTTCTCTAGTCCCCCTAGATAGGTCAGAAGGCTCCGCTGGGCTCCCACTACTCCCTGGGCTTCCCCCTCCTAGCCTCAGTCACTATGCCTGGATTTTCCCCCACCCCAGCCCCAATCACTCTGGGCTGTCACCCTCTGGTAATGGGTTAATTCCCTCCTACTCTGGACCAGGAGTTCCCTAAGAGCCTTGGTCTTTTGGTGTGTCCCTGGCATTGCCCTTAAAGAGAAGGAGGAGGCACAGAGGAGATCCTCAATGGTAAATTTCTGCTGAATGAACAAATGAAAAGACCCCTGCATCTCCCCACACGCTTCTCCAGGATTTTTTGGATGGTGAGAGTACCCACACACCCACACACACGCCTTGCCCCAAGTGCCCTGGTCCCCCATGACACACACCCCCATCTCTCTCTCCCGCAGCTGTGGCCCCCCAGAGGGCCCCTATCCTGCGTCCGGCCTTCGTCCCCCATGTGCTTCAGAGAGCAGGTGAGGGGCAAGGGTCATCATCCCTGCCACATAACCCCCCAAGCCCTCTAACTGTCCCACTAACACCCTGACAGATTCTGCTCTTTCTTCTGCAGCAGGTGGTCCTCGCCCTATGGCCCTGCGGCCCCCTCACCAGGCCCTTGTGGGCCCCCCTCTGCCTGGGCCCCCTGGACCACCTATGATGCTACCACCAATGGCTCGGGCCCCGGGCCCCCCCCTGGGCTCCATGGCTGCTCTGAGGCCTCCCCTGGTGAGTGTGCACAGGTCGCTGATGGCCAGAAGTGCAGTGGGTGGGGAGATCCTTGATCCTGGCTTGATGGACTGTGTCTAAGTCTGCCTTTTCCCTGGCTTTTCATGTCTCTGCCTTCTCATTCTCTCGGACTGTCCTTGTAATTTTGTGGTCAAATCTCCGTTTTTCTTTGAGAAACATATGCTGTGGTATATTTCTATGTCTCAATTTTTCCTCTGATTGGCCTTCTCTGTTTTTCTGTCTTGGTGTCTTTCTTTGTCCTTGTGTCTGTTCATATGTGTGTATCTCTGATTGTGTTTCTCTGTCCCTGTGTCTGTCTCTGACTAGACTCCTTTCTCTGTCTCCGTATTTCTTGCCTGCTCTCTGACCCCTGGGCCCTTGCTTTGTTATACAGGATTAGAAT